TCAGCACTGGACCCGAACTCATGATCCGAGACATGAGTGCCGACAGAGAGGGCCGGTATATGTGTCGCGCGTCTGTCAAAGGATTCCCAGAGATTTCAGCACAAAGTCTCGTCTTTATTAAAGGTATCAAAACTACTATTCATTACTATTTATATTACAATTTCACAACATTTTTATAGAGTAACTGAAATCTCAAGTGTTTTATCACAAATAAATACAAACTAAACAATTGACAGACAAAATGATTATTTGATTTCATAAATCAAATTTTAGAGACACTAATACAAACTGAATCTCATAACAAACAAAACAAAACTAAAGTAAAAATTCATTCAGTTTTTGCAATTTTCCCACAAAACACATAATCGATAGGATTTATAAGTGAATGAGATATACAATCATTTTATGATTTTATTGTGATATTAAAGTGACTAAAACTCCATATAAATGATGACAACAATCAAAACCTAAACACAATTGTATTGTAAAACAAGTAATAAAATGTATTTAAACCCGACTTCAGGTCCGCCGCGTATAAGACGTCCATACGTTCAGTACGGTATGGATGGACAGGCAGTTAACGTGGAATGCATTATAGACTCCATTCCGACGCCGACCAAGATTTTATGGTTTCATAATTCACGGGTTTGTATAACATTGCTATCCATCGATACAAATGATAAATACTTACCGTTTTATAACTGCAATAAATTACTTAAACTTTTATTTTTTCCGCTGTTTATTACTCTACTCTTATATATGATGTGATTTATATCCAGTGATTATTAGTAAACAAATGCCATAAATTTGCATAAAACCTATCCTTAGGATTAATATTCAGTGCAATAAATAGTTAAATCCCATACACTATAAGTGGTTTAATGGACTGAATTTAATTGTTTGCATATATTTTATTGTTTCATACGATTGTCCAACAGTTGGTTGACGTCGACAACAACGATGGCTATGAGTTGATCGAAGAGTCCATTCAAACTGATTCCAGCTTTCGGTCAACCATTTCGATCAGAAAATCAAAAACTGTGAGTATTTTATCGCAAAATATTTATACATTGATTATAACTTAATGTGACATTAAATCTTATATGATATCAGTTTTTTTGCTAAATATTTTAAATATTTACTTATATTTCATACGATTTCTTAGGCTTTAGGAGATTTTTGCTTTTAAAAATTGTTTTAAACTTTAATTACATTTTATTTAATGTTTAATTATTGCTTAATTTATTTTAAAATGCATTTATTTTGGTCTTTTGAAATTAATTACATAAATATTTTATTTTGTATTTATAAGTATTATGTTTACTCTCACATCCTTTGCCCAAATTAACACTTTTTGGGTTTAAATTAAATTAGTCATGTTTTACATCGATTGTATTTTTCTAAACTCTCTCTCTTCTCATTGCAAAACTCTATTCTCTCAATTCAATGATTAATTAGTATATAATGTAATGTAATGTCAAGTAATTTAAAGAATT